GGTCGCAGGATTGGAGAATTAAAGCCCGGACTGGGTAGGGGACCTCGCATCCACACATCTGGGCTCGCGCCACCATCCATCTGCCAGCAACACCTCGGGAGAGCGGCAGCAGCCAGTGCCCCGTCCACAGGGAGCCGCCTGGACACCGTCAGCTCCAGACGCCGGGCAGCCTTGGACGCACCTACAACAGCCACCTCCACGTCTCCAGACATGCGCTAGTCCCCCACCATAAACCAACCACGGGCCGCCATCGTGCCCGCCTTCCTCGTCCACGCGCCCGCAGAGAGGCATGAAGCCCCGGCCACCGTCGGGTGCCGGCACCCACGCGCCCACACCCAAAGTCGGCGGCCTACCACTGCCACCGAAGCTGCAGCCGCCGCCTAGAGCCGGGTGCGAGATATGACGAAGACCCAGGACCACTCCATGGCCGCGGGAGGCGCGCCCTTCCAACAAACAGCCCGCCACGCCGCAAATCCCGCCTGCCGTCGTCATCGAGCAGAGGTCCGCCGCACCGCCAAGCGCGGCGTCCCGACAAACCAAGCCTGGTCCGCACCAAGCCCCATGCGCGGGGGCAGGCGGTGGTGGTGGAGGGAAGGATAGACGGGGGGAGGGGGGCACGGCCTGCGGCTAGGGTTCCCCTGTCGCTCGCGGGAGCAAGGGAGGGAGGACGGAAAAAAAATGATATCTCTCCCACCTCAAATCCATACAAGCCATGCAGAATAAAAACCTACGTACAATGTACATGTCCAGCTACTCATAGTCGAAAATGTCAATGATCTACTGAATTATGGTTGCACCGATCTTAAATCGTGGTAGATCAGGTCCCAGTCTAGTACGGTTTCCTTTTTTTTTCGTTTTCTTGCTGGTGAGTGAGGCGAGTGAGAGGGAGCGGGGAATGGAGTTGATTATGGAGATGCTACGGGACGAGTAGGAAAGCAAATCAGTGATGAGTGGATGCAGCATACTAGCAAAAGTTTGCCCTTGGCTACTTTTTTTTCTTTTTCTCGAAGTGTCAGATTAAAGCCATCTAATCTAATCTACTGATTGGCACACACTAATGTACTGTAGTAGTACTTTAAGTATTAGTGACTAATGATAAAAGTGTTTAGGCGGTGGGTGGTGGGGTGGTAGAAGAGTGTAAAACATGTAGAAAGATGCTCGTTGCCTCCTTGCCGACGACTCGCCGCCGACCCGACCACTGTTACTCCCACCCCGTGATGCTCGATCGTGCTACTTTTACTGCAAGGGCATGCGAAAACCAAGAGGAAGAAGGACAAAGATGCTTTTGCCTCGTCTGTGTGCGGAGTGATGATGCACTCATCCGCGTGCCCGCCCACCTGGCGGAGGGACCAAGCTGTGTGCTGCATGCACATGCACTACACCGGCTCCCCTCTCCTCTCCTGGCGTAAGTTTCTCCAATGCAAAAGTAGATCGGGGAGTGCAGCCGGATTCAGCCACATACATTGCCTCCTCCGCCACTGCACACACACACACACACAGTGAGACATAGAGAACACGCCGGCCGGGAAGGAGGGAAACAGAGCTCGGCCTGTTCTTCGCCGGGAAGGGCGGCTCCGTCGCCGTCTCTGAGTCTCCAAGACACACACACACACAAACACACAGAGGCCTGTTCAGCGGGGGCGTTCCTGTTCCGGTGCATACGGCCTAGCTGAGCGCCATGGAAGGAGCTCCTGTCACCGCAGCCACGGGGACCTTGGGGCCCGTTGTAGCGAAGCTGGGTGCTTTGCTGGGCAGCGAGTACAAGCTCCGGCGGCGGACTCGCAAGGACGTCAAGATCATCAGATCAAAGCTCAAGCCTGTGCACTCCATCCTTTGGGCGGCATGGGGGGAGGAGATTCTTGATGCGGAATCCAAGGGCCTGAAGAAGGAAGCGCTGGATCTCGCCGATGACATGCATGATGCCATCGACGACTTCATCTTCACTTTGGAGGCCAGCCGCAGAAGCAAGCGCTTGATGGTGCAGACCAAGATGAAAGCAAGCCCCTTCCAAGATCTCAGGGCAAGAGTTGATGACGTGTCGGTCCGGTGCCGCAACAAGTGGAAGTCTGCTCAACCCATCTCCAGCTTATTTTCAAGCAAGAAAAACACCAGCCCCAGAAAATCACCTCCTCATCGAGCTCCATTTGTCCGCAAGGATGCGTCAGAACTCATTGGTCTGGGCAAATGGAGGGATGAGCTCATCAGATACCTCGTAGGAGAACAACAAGAAGAGAGCACAATGGTGTATCCGGAGCTCAAAATGGCATCCATTGTTGGAATGGCCGGTGTGGAGAAAACAACCCTTGCCCGCCTTGTGTATGAAGAGATTGAAAGTAAGTTCCAGTCCCGGGCTTTTGTGTCCGTCACTCCAACTCCCAACATGAAGGAGGTTCTCACAAGCATTCTCAAGCAAGTAGGAGCTGAACCGCCTGCTGGCACCCAAGCAAGGACAGAGGAAGGTCTTATCCACGCCATATCAAATTTCCTAGATGACAAAAGGTGTGCAAATTATTATTAAAGTTTAAATTTAGTTAATCCTTTTAGAAATATTTACTGCCAGGTTCAGGATTTCAGTCCTGGATTTCTGAATTTAATTTGGTCAAGCTGCCTACTAATTACTATCTTGTGCAACCAACTTGCCTTAGGTACCTAGTAATAATTGATGGCATATGGCATCGTGGAAAATGGGACATCATCAACAAGTCTCTTCCACGAAATAGGCTGGGCAGTAGAATTATCATAACAACTCGTATTCATTCTCTACCAGGAGATGATTTCAAAAACAGCAGGCTCTGCATCAGAATGGATCCAGAATGGAGTTTCCGAGGGAGAAGATGGTTCTACGGACCTGATGAGGAAGATGTCGCTGCTCGGATGAAGCCTGACATGGTTGGACAAGGTTTTGACCGTGACCATCCTATTGTGCGCATGTGTGGTGGTGTGCCGTTAGCACTACTTTGCATGTTTTCGGCAATGAGAATGGTCCGAGAGCAACAACAACTAGGGGTACATGTAAAGGCATGCGTTGTGCAAGATATGATTAAGAAGCAAGTTAAGCAAAGTGGAATTCAGAACACTCCAGGGTTTGAACCGTTGGTAGAGAGTTTGCAGCTTGACTACACCGATCTTCCTCACCATATGTTGAAGACCTGCTTGTTGTACTGCAGTGTATACCCTGAGAATTATAGTTTTCACATGAATGATTTGGTCATGCGATGGGTCGCTGAAGGATTTACTTATAAAGAGGCTACAGGAAAAGATTATTTTGAAGAGCTTTGCAACAGGGGATTTATGATGCGTCTGCAATATGCATTGGGCATGCCCTACTACCAAATGAACCCGATGATGCGATATTTCCTTAGATGGAAATCACGTGAAGATAATTTCATTACTTGCAGTTCCGACATCACATCGGCATATGCAAGTCCAGTCCATCGGCTATGTATTGACGATCATCAAGATGATGATGGTGCTGATCCGTTCTCTGGATTAGATTGGTCCCAGATTCGATCTCTTGTTGTTTTTGAGGGTGCCGAGAGATATGTCCCCTTTGAGAAGTTGGAAAATGTGCGGGTGTTGGATCTTCAATATTTGAACTTTGAATTCAGGGCTCTTGGGAATCATCATGTGAAGGATATATGTGGACTGCTCCGTGTGAGGCACCTATTCGGCCTAGAGGGGCGCAAAATTAGTGAGATACCACCAGAAATAGCAAGGCTGCAGTATTTGGAGACTTTACAGATAAGCAAAACATCGATCAGAGAGTTACCCACTGAGATCGGGGACTTGCAGCAATTAAAGACTCTCGATGTGAGCAACAACAGTGCACTGGCAGAGCTTCCCAGGGAGACCGGGGAACTGCAGAATTTGAAGCGACTGCTCTTGAAGTACACGGAGGTGGTGACGTTGCCAGCAGGAATCAGGGGATTGAAGAATCTGAAGATTTTGGAAGGAGATCGTATTAGCTCTGCAATACCCTGGGAAGCTGGTGGACAGTTTTCAAAATTGGAGGCAGTGCCCGAGTGCATCCGCAAAGCTTGGAAGAATAGTGATCTTTTGTCTGAGTTAGCTGGGGAGATCTTGTCCATTAAATTACATGTTTCATGCGTTTCTGGGGGAGGCCTAATCCTTGGCACAAAACACATGCATATTCCACGGTGGATCAAAGATCACTTCAACGACCTTCGCTACTTGGATATCATGGTCTGCAAACTTGAGGAGCAGGATCTCGAGATTCTGAGGGAGATGTACTACCTATACGATCTCACGCTAAGATTTCAGGTCGTCCCAAGAAAGCCCATAGCCATCAGCGGTGAAGGGTTCCGATGGCTCGAGACACTCGTTGTTGACAGCCGCACGCCACCGCTAATCACCTTCCAGGAAGGAGCGATGCCGCGTCTGGAAATCCTCAGCTTCGAGTTTCAGTTCAACGGTGGCCCACCTGCAAATAGAGACCCACTGGGTATCAAACATCTGCGCGACCTCGAAGCCGTCGAATTTAGATGCAACGAGGAATGGTATGGAGGAGCAGAGAGCATCCCGTGCATGAGCGCGATGATTGACGTGGTGAGGAAAGAAGCCCAGGAGCATCCCAACAAGATCAGCTTTCGTGTCACTGGCCGCGAGGAAGAGACTTTTCCGGCGAACAAGAGCGCACAGGTTCCAGATGCTTCCAGCTGTGGGAGTAGCGCCATGAAGCATGATTGATTTCTTGGCGAGTATTTATTGGCAAAACACACGACCAAGCAGGTAATCTTCTTGGCTCTTTCTTTCTCTTATTGCCAACAGACAGACAGACAGACAGACAGACAGACCACTAATACACTTACTTGTACCGTCGTCTTGGCAGGATGGTTATTTCATCGTCACCCCTACCTGAATCTGCAACTACGGCTATTCTTCTTCAGGCTTCCTTCCATGCCTTCAAAATCTTGTATCGCCGCCGCGCGAAATGTGGGCATAAGATTTGGCCACATGTATCTTGTTATACTTGTTAGCTCTGCGCCTGTATCTCTATCTGCAAGTGTGCAACATGTATTTTCGTCTTTTAATCTAGTATTTACAATCCAAACAAGTATGCACTTAATTGTTAGTACCAAAACTCTGTTGTTATGAAGATTTGTTTGTAATCCAAGATGAATTTATTACCAATCTCACATTTGTTTGTAATCCAGGTTGAATTTATTACCAATCTCTTTTTCTTCTTGTCATATACGTACTCCTATGTCTTCGTCCAATTGCATATATTTATCTTCTATTGATCCATGACTTGCCCATGATAACTACTCCCTCCGTCTCATAATATAAGAGCGTTTTTTACACTAGTGTAGTATAAAAAACATTCTTATATTATGGAACGGAGGGAGTAATTTGCAAGTTGGAATTGCTCCCTTGTCAAACAAAGCAAGGCAGTACAACAGTTATCCGCACCGGTGTGGACTGGCCACCCTGTTCATATGCCTGCAAAAATGAAATCATGAAATCATCATGAAATCACATTCCTGTAAGGTGTGGCAAAAAAAAAACAAATTCAGTGCTTTAAAACGCGTTTGAAAGTAGCTTATTCGGAGTACTATTTTTGTTTTTTTTTCTGCCACGCCTTCTAGGAATGTGATTTCATGACGAATTTTTACAGGCACTTAGAACTTTTGTCAATGTCAAAAACAATTTGGAATTTTTTGAATTTTTTTATTTTTTTCAATTTTACTGTTCATGCGGGAGCATATGAGCTCGGGCCTCATCTGGATCTAGGCGGGCCACCAGCAGGGCGTGTCGGGGGAGGGATGATGGGCGGGTGGGTGCTGGTGACGACCTACTACAACATGGTCGGCAGGGTTTAGCGGGCCCGATTTGGGCCTGGCCTGGTGAGGGATGGCCTGGTATGCCCTGCTGTCGCATCCGGACAGCGACCGCGAGGGTGTCGGAGGCACGGGCCTCCCGCACGACAGCGGTGGAGGTGGTTCCCTCCCGCACGGCTCCGATGCTACTGCTCCCAACGCCTGGTGCTTCTCTCACCGTCCTTTTGGCCTCATGGTGGTGTCATTGAGATGGCGTGGGTGGCATCAAGACCGTTGTGCTGCATGCTGGTGGGCGGCGAGTTGGCTGGTTGGCTCCGACCCAGTTGGGAAGTGGGGTTTGAAGTGCGGGAAAAATCCTTGCCGGTTCTTCCGACTCTGATGTGATGACACCTACAGGTGCCGCCATTTCTTCCTGGAGGGTGTCGGTGGTTTCCATCCCCCACTCCCCTCCATATGCCAGGGGAAACCCTAGGACACATCCGGGCACCAGCATCGTTGGCGTCGCATTCCTCCTTGGAGGTGCTGCTTGGTACGCAGCGGATCGGAGCCTTGGACTGTGGTGGAGGGTGCAATGATGGCGGGTCATCCGTGCTTTGTCGAGCTGCCATTGTTGGCATATGCTTCTTCCTTTCGCTCTCTTTTCTTTTGGGTTTGCTGTGCTACTAGCCCCAGCAATTGTTACGTGATTGGTGTTGGTTGCTTTGCAATACAAAGCAGGGGACCCCTTTTTCAAAAAAGAAAAAAATGTCTACAACTCAACGACACCAGCTCAAAAATGGGACGTGTGCTCTCAACTCGATCTCCTGCGTGCTCCAAGGGTAATTAAAACCCTGGTAAAACCGATAGGTCGGCAATCCCCTTGGTCAAACTCGCAACCTTTTGTAGCAGCGCCAGCCGGTTGTTACGGATCCTCTCATCTTCCTGTTCCATGGGCCATCACCAGATACAAACAAGATCAATTAGCCAAGGTACATGTGCATACATGCACTGTTTCTTTAGCAGACATATATACAGTGCCGACCAGTAAAATGAAATGAATCACGAGATTCTTCGAACGAATAGATTTGTGCTCACCGCCATGACGAAAACGTTGTTGAAGAAATCCTCCAGGGGGTGTATCAGAAGCAGGGAGGCCTCGGCGAAGGTTTTGACGTCGACGCCTGCAAGAGCAATGAACATAATAGAGAACATGTTAGCTGTAGGAACTTCGACCTCATACATGTCGCTGTAAGAAATGAAGATATGCTTCTGTTACCAGGGTGGATCTTATCGGCAGCCTCCAAGTAGGCGCTCCACAAGGCTTTTTCTTCTTCTTTCTCGAATACGCTTGCGTCGACCTGCATATTACGTCATTAAGCTTAGTTCATGACTCAAGTTGCACTCTGAGTTTGTTATTGAACTGCGTTGGTGCATATCTACATAAAAGCAGCCAGTACCTCCCAAGCAGACTCAATTTGCTTCCCACGTATAATTCGAACTGGCCTAGAATACGCCTCGACAATTTTTGGAAAATCTTGAGTTCTTGAAAAAGCTTCCATCTGCAAGTGTCCACAATTTTCGACAAAGGGCATTTTATTGACTCAGAATGTTGCAAGTGTCCACATAGCAAAACTATCACCCAAAAACTCAGGATGCTTCAATAAATTCCAGCAAGGTAGTAAGCACATAAAACGTAAACGCAGATATTTTACACCGCATAATATGGAGTTCCAGGTTACAAATACAGCCTTTGAAATTAATGTAGCTTCTAATCTACGGAGCATTTAAAAAATGATCTTAAAGTTTAGCACTATATGATTTCTTACTTCAGCTGCCGTTTGTGATGCTAGATAAGGGCAGTTTGCACGCTCCATAAGCACTGACCGGACTATTTCATAGTTAATTCCTTCATCCACCTGATACAAAATGAGGAAACAATGAGTCAGTTAAAAAACACATGGAATTTTACTCGCATACAGGTTTTATAACAATGTTTATATGTCTATCCTAAGTACATCCTAAGAGGATAAAGTACAAGAATCTTGGACAAGAACAGCCTTGTGTGCAACTCTTGTTATGACAGGTCAAGAAGATACTTACCAAAAGTTGTTCCAGTCTCCGTGTTACAAATTGTACTACCTAAGAATAATTTGATCAGAGTTCTCATAAACCATTTATTCATGAACATACTACATGGTGATGAATCTGAAATATATACCGACCTCATTTATGACGTCACTGTCTATTCTGATAGGCTGCACCTCTGCCACCAAGGTCAAGGCCTTCGTGAGATCAAAGTTCTTCTTGTTCTCAACCAATATTTGGACCTATATAAAATATATTATGAGAATAGTTTACATGTAATGATATTTTAAGTTTCAACTTCTCTTACCAGTCCATAAGAGATCCTTCTCAGTCCAAATGGATCGTTTGAAGAACTTGGCTGGCATCCAGCTCCAAACAGACCCACTAAGCTGTCCAATCTGTGCGAGTAAAAAGGTCATTATCAGAATCAAGGTGCTCCAGACTTTGTCAACATTTTGTGTATTTAATTTAGCTTCCGATTAACAATGGCAATATATGTGAGGGAAGTACCTATCAGCAACCGCAAGGACTATGCCAACATCTGTTTTTGGTAAAACATCGCCAGAGAACCTTGGAAGTGTTATCTCGAACAGTGCTTCTGCAATCTTTGACATGAAAATTTGCTCAGCCAAAGTTGAGGACTGACTTAACTTTCCCTATTAAGAGTTGGCAACAAATGTACCTCTTCTGGAAGACCATCCCTCAAAGCATAATGGTGTGCCATAATTCCAGCAAGTGAAGTAAATTCCGTAACAATGGAAGTAGCAAGATCTGACATAGCCAATGCAGCTGCATCTTTGACAACTGGGACCGTCCCCTCATTTATCCCGAGAACGAGGGTCAACTCTGCGACAACATTTTCAACTCGCACCATTTTGTCGAGCATTGTACCAAGTTTTTCCTATTCAATGTGATATAGACAAAATAAGAATAAACAGAACGCAAAAATCTAAGGAAAATTCAACCATCGATATATTTTCATGTTCAAAATCAAACTTTTTAGAACTTATGGTAAAAAAAGTCAGCACAACTCACATGAAAGAGAATGCTCTTGAGCTGGCCTCGGAATTCGGACAAGTTCTTTTGTGTATCCATGTTATAGAAGAACTTGGCATCCTCATACCTTGCCCTGTATTTGTATGCCAATTCAGAACGTACGGATGACTAAAGTTCTCTTTCCAAACAAAAACAAAACCAGAGGGCAAGAGAAGAACAACTCAAAACAATGCTAGTAGTTTGCCTATGTTACTGTTTTTTCGTGTGAATTCTTTGGCTCTAAAATAAAAATTTACACAGTAAAATAATGATTCACAAAATTTTCATTTGGGCCTGTGCATAACCTGAGTACAGCTTCATTGCCTTTCCGGACCACTTCTTCACTAATAGAACCATTACCAACCTAACAACAAATGCCGAATTAGAACAAATACTAATCACTACCCAATTATAAAGTATATAAAGGGGCAGAAACCATCTCACAGTAATAAAATATGGTAGCAAATCGCCTGTAGACTTGGAGGTTACAGGAAAATACCTCTGGTGTTTCTGCATAACCTGTAGTTGTGATTTTCATCAGAAAAAATGCATATTATAAGATAATTCCTTTCAGCTGAGTAATTCTTAAAGCACAAAACATGTCATTGGACTTATCATTTTGTGACTACATCATCAGAACCAACAAAATGTAGTGTAGTTTATAGGCATCGCCGTCCAAATCTGAGCATACCGTTGTTAACACATCTTTCGGAAGTTCTAGGAAGGAATCATCATATCGTCCAAGAATGGGCACAGGCGCCTCGACAAGATTGACAACCTGCATCGTGGTTTCAAATGTTTCAGGATAAC